TGATCAAAACCGAAAGTTTCTGTGATGACTGCCCTTGTACTGTTCACCATGTAAGAATTTATTCACTATGTAAGAATTCGTTCACCATGTAAGAACTTGTTCGTTATGCTTCAGAAGATTGGAGACTGACGAGAATTAGGCTTGAGATGGATTAATGATTGTGCATTGAGCATTGACTCCCCTATACAGAATTTTATTGTTGTTAACAACCATTTGATCAATAAATATGAGAGATGCCCTCTCAAAAAAGAAAAAAAAATCACTAGTACATAACGTCTTTTAATCAACTGCTAGTGTTTTATGAAGTGTCTTATAAGCAATGTAAAGGAACCCATAATACCTAAGTGGTATGTTATGTAATTCACCATCAGTGAATACATTCCTGTTGAAATCTAATGTAATTCAGAACTGAACGTATCTCCTCTATGAAATCAGTTCTAAGAATTTGTGAGCATTTATTTAGGGCTCTAATTGGACTTAATTCTTAATGTTCACTTAGACTTCTGATTATTTCAACTCTGCATTTTCAGTTGGCCAACAAAGGTGTCATGTTCAAAATTTTCATAAAAAGTAAGGGGGAAGTTATGTAGGCACAGAGTGTATATTTGTAAATTAAATTTTACAAATATAAGAAATAAAAAGCATAGTAGAATTAGATAACTATAGATTACATGCATTATCTATCATTATTTAGGATAGTAACTCTAGGGTCTAAGAAGGGATTCATTTGTTCTGAATGAAAAAATATATAGGTCTCAACCTGACTTTTGCCTTCTACTCTTAACCAGCACGCATTTGTTCTTCGGGAGCACCCTGAAACAGTGTTAATAGATCTCATTCAAAGGACAAAGGATTCAGAAAGAGAGCTGGACAATCTGCAGTATCAAATGAAGAAGAAGGTCCTTTTCCAGGAGGCACATAATGGACCAGCAGTAGAAGCACAGGAAGAGGAAGAGGTAATAACTTAGAAATGGCTCAAATATTGGGGTCTCTTTATTGGCTTCTTTCCTTATGGAACTTTTCTTGCCAAGAATCTTTTATATCAGTGGTTTCCAGATTGTGTCTTCACAGTGATTCTCTAAGGTCCCAGGTGGAGAAAAAGGTTTTGCATTCTTTAAACCAACCTCTTGGTAGTGTACATTAGCATAGTAAAGCTCTGTGAAGTCTTTTATTAGAGAAACCTGTTCAACTTTTATTTAATCTAGTCCCTCTCAAAATTCTGGTCTACTGAACACTTTTTTGCCTGATTGTCTGATGGCATGGGACACGCTTTTGGAAAAATTTGAAATTACAGGCTTTAGAAGTTGATGGTGCTCACACAGAAGTTATTAGAATTACCAACCATTTTCCTTATCTTGTTTATTGTATAATCCTTTCCCTCAGTGTCTTTTATGTAATGTTGATAAGTGTTTATTAAATTGGAAATTTCTTCTTTAAAAATAAATAAATAAATAAACATATGAGTTAGCTAAATTTATCCTGGGGGAAAAAATTACCAAGCATTCTTATTCTGTTACTAAGAACACTTGATTCTTTTCAGTTGTGTATAGGGATTCATTCCTCCACATGGTTCTGAAATACTCATTTTATAGGTGAGTAAAGTAAGGCTCAGAGTGGTTAGCTTACAGTAAAAGCATATGGGTTTGGATTCATATATTACTCTTGATACCAAGTTCTTTCCATGTTGCCATGTTTCTATATTTGCAGTAGAAATGTTACAGAACTTCCTCACAAGGAAAATATAAAGCTTATTATTTGTGGAGCTATCTTTTTTAGTCAAAGTAATTTCTGTTTTCTTCTTTGCTCGTGTCACAGTGCCAAAGCTTTGATTCTTTTTTATTGCTTTCTAGTGAGAAATATCCCTGTATTCTGAAAACAAGAGTAGTGGTTACTTTTCTTTTTAATAGCACTTAACGTAATTAATGAACTATAAAATAAAAGACTTTCTTACATACAGTTTTGGTGTTTTTGATATTTTTTAGTTCTAACAGTAGTCACTAGAAAATTGGGTCTCTTTTAGGTATATGAAATACCTTAGGAAAGTGAAATTAATAAAATTCTAATGCCATTAAACATTAGAATAACAGCAACTTTTTTTAGGCCGTGGATGTAAGAAAAGATTCTCTGTATACCACGGGTCTATATTTATTATTCTGCATATCTTGAAGAATGTTGGTATTGTAAGACTATAATATTGGTGCCCAGATACCAAAGCTTGCCAGGTTTCTTCAGAACAGTCTTCTAATTATGATTAAATATATATACAATTTTTAATTTTACACAAAAATAGAATAAAATTAATATTAAATTACTTGGTCGAAGAAGTTTATGCTAAAGACTATATTCTGAGAAGAAAAGAAATATAAAAGGCTTCAATAAAAAATAACTAAAAGGGATGTTTATAGGATTAAAAGAGGTTGGGGTTTGTTTTCACCATTGGAATCATTGAGAAATGAGCAGCGTCTCTGTGTATACCCCATGAGATGTGTAGTAGAAATGGATTTCAAACTAATGTTAAAAATTTTAGAGAAAAGACTGCACTTTGGAAATAACTCAGAATTGATTAACTTTTTCACATAGTTGGTTAGGCTTTTTGGTATTTAACTGTTGGTCATTTTTTTATCTGTCAAGTAACAATTGATATAAACTTCCTGGTCTTGGAAAATACAAGAAATTTCTCAAAATAGAACACTAACTTTCTGAAGACTCTGTGTGCCAAGCAGTGTGCTAGGTGCTAATAATAAAAAATTCAGCAGATAAAGATACTTGAATCTAATGCTCTTTTCCCTCAGGAACAAGATCACGGTGTTGGACAGACAGGGACAGTGAATAGTGTTGGAAGTAATCAGTCTATTCCCAGTATGTCCAACAGGGCCAGTAGTCAAAACAGCTGTGTTAACAGTCTTCCAGATGCCTTGGATGACAAAAGTGAGCTAGACATGATGGAGAGAGACCACACAGTCATGTCTAATAGTTCTGTCATCCATTTAAAACCCATGAGTATTTGGATTTCAGTAAAAAAAATTTCAACTTTGGTAACTAATTTTCTTAATCTGATTAGTTTGAGTTTGGGGTTTTTTTTCTTTGATGTTTCAGAAGCTTGGAACATAATTTTAGGTAACTTATTTTAAAATGGCAAAAGGCTTTTTAATTCCCAGTTTAATGTCTGCATTTAGGAAACATGTTTTGAGAATGCAAAAAGAAATTTTTTTAAATCTTAGAAGAAAGAGAGAGAAAGAGAGAGAGAGAGAGAGAGAGAGAGAAGGAAGGAGGGAAGGAAGGAAGGAAGGAAGGAGAAAGAAAGAGAAAGAGAAAGAGAGAAAGAAAGAGAGAGAAAGAGAGAGAGAGAAAGAAAGAGAGAGAGAAAGAAAGAAGAAAGAAAAAGAAAGAAGAAAGAGAGAAAGAGAGAAAGAAAGAAAGAATGAAAAAGGGAGAAAGAAAGAGAGAGAGAGAAAGAAAGAAAGGAAGGAAGGGAGGGAGGGAGGGAGGGAGGGAGGGAGGAAGGAAGGAAGGAAGGAAGGAAGGAAGGAAGGAAGGAAGGAAGGAAGGAAGGAAAGACCATATAATGTTTTAGTTGAAGTTACCTAGATGAAAATGAAGGTATTTAAAAATAGTAAGTATACAACATGATTTTAGTGATGATGGTTGCCCTTGGGAAGTGGAGAAAGATTTCAGGTGGGTGATAATCAAAAGTGATTTTTGTGTTTTCCATAATGTTTGCATTTTAAAAATAAAACTGAGTGTAATTGTGGAAAATTAATACTTCTTAGTTTAGGAAATATGGATGTTTGCTGCACTTTCACATGTAAGATTTTAAATTTTCTTGAAAACACTTGAAGGTCAGGTAACTCCTTTCGCAATTGATACGAATGCTTTCTTTTTAACTTCACTGCTTTCAATATTACCAAAAAGGTACTAGGTACAATAGCTAAAAGATGGAACCAAACCAAGTATTCATCAACACATGAATGGATAAACAAACCATAATATATACATACTATGGAATATTATTCAGCTGTGAAAAGGAACAGCATTCTAATATATGCAACAATGTGAGTGAACCTTGAAAACATGCTAAGTGATATAAGCCAGACACAAAAGGATAAATGTTATTATAGTTCCACTTTTATGAAATATCTAAAATAGTCAAATTCATAGAAAGTAGATTAGAGGTTGCTAAGGGGCAAGTGGAAGATGAAATAAATACTTTTATTCTTTTTACTTTTTTTATTTTGGTATCATTAATGTATGTTAGGCTGCAGACATCAGGGGAAGGGGTGAGCCTGATGGACAAGCTCAGGCCTCACCAAACGAGATGAAGAGACCAACAGGTTCCAGTCTGACAACATTCCAGAGCCTGATCTGATAACCCTCCCAACTAGAACCCTTCCCCCAAGCTAAAGGATTAGTGGTAACTTTCCAGTGCCTGGCTAAAGGCCAATGAGAGACACCCACATACCCTAGATGAGCCAATCCTCATGCCAATGTACACCTTTGCCCTCCCTCCCCCGTCTTCTTTAAAAACTTGCTGCCTGTCCTGCTGGGTGTGACCTCCTTGGCCTGTGTTTCAGACTGCAGAACATCACCTGGGGGTGGCATTCAAATAAACTACCTGGCCCTTTGTTGCCTCTCTTTGCCTGCTTATTTCGGCTAAAATTTATCTTACATTTGGTGCCAAAACGCCGGGAAAGAGTGTGAGTGCAGGGCCCCAACCAGCCACCAGTGGCCTCGCCCCCTCCTTCCCTAACCCAGGACCTCAGCCTGCTCTCAGCTGCATGGACTATTTTCCAGTGAGCCCCTCAGTTTCCCCCGGTCTGTTTCCCTCCCTAACTCCATTTCACCTGGTCCATTAGAAATTGTACATATGTCCAGGTGGCCCACCCTCTGCAGGCATCCGGCCTGCCCCTGGCCCTTCAGTATGGGAGATGTCCCTACCCCAGGCCCCAGGACGTCTGCGGGCATCTGGCCCACCCCTGACCCTGCAGTATGGGAGGCGTCCCTACCCCAGGCCCCAGGATGTCTGCAGGCATCCAGCCCGCCCCTGGCCCTGTGGTGGGGGAGACTTCCCTCACCCAGGCTCCCAGGATGTCTCCCCTGACTTGGCACACTTGGGACGCTGGGCGCTCCTCTCAGCAGGATTAGTTGGGGAGTGGTGCAGACATGGGGAACCAGCCCTCAAAAGCAGAGGCTCAGACCCCACTGCGGTGTCTCATTTCTAATTTGGCTACTCTATATTTGCCCCAGGAAGTTTGCAAATGGAAGTTAGTCTTTCTTTGCTCTGAGGCCAGGCCTCAGTATCCCTTGGACAATCAATCTCACTGGCCCCCTGGGGGAACTTTCAGTTTTAGCCTCCCCACCACCTTGATTAATTATTGCCACTGGAGTGGAGAGTAGAGTGAAATCCCATATGTGCTGGCTTTTTGGACTTTGCACTCCCATCCAGACCTTTATGTTGTGTTCAGTGACTTAGGTACTCCTAGACCGATCTCCAGTTAAAGATTGTCAGCCTCTTACTCTGCTCAGTCCTTCCTTTTCAGGTCCTCCAGAAAACCTCAGTCACCCACCTCCCTCAGCTCACAATCCCCTCCCCCTCTCTCCACCACCATCTTTAAGTCCTTTGTCTTCACATGTGTCACCTCCATCTTAAAGTCCTACATTCTCAATCATGCCGTTGTCCTGCTCTCCTCTTCTGGTAGCTGCACCACCCCCTCCTCCTCTCCTTCCACCTTCACCACCCTCTTCCCCCACTGGAACACACTCCTCCCACTCTCTGGTTCCAGAAGCCATGGACAAGAAGCTGAGGAGAAGGAAGGCAATTGGATATCAGTGACTCAAGTCTTTATATCGGTTTGTCTATCTGTGTATATGTTTTTATGTAAAAAGTGTTGCTGACTGTAGTGGTTGTGTCTCAGTTTGTAGGTTTGTGTGTCTAGGTGTATAGATGAAAAATATTTTATTTAAAAACAAGTGTTTGTGAAAATTGGGCATTCTAAAACTTCCAGAAAATCTGATAAAAATGTTAAGCATTAATGCTAATTTGGATTTGGCTGAGGCGGGCATGTCCTTGTTGTTATCAGCTACCTAAATTTACCTAAGGTCATTTAAGTCAATATTATCTGCTAAATCTTTTAAGAATAAAATGCTTAAAGGCTTGGCTTTCTCTAATATTCAGTAAAGGTTTTTTAAGTAATCTAGCATAGTTGCTAAAAATAAGTAAACAAGCTTAGCAAATAAATATCTTAATAATAATACTATATTAATGTATAACAGTGTATATATATGCAAACAGCCTGATAATTTTTGTGGTAACCAAAATTCTTAAAGGTTGTTAAGTTATATAGACATATTTTGTGCCTAATAAGAAATTGTGCTATAAAGCACATTTCCAAAAATGATAATATACATTCATAAATGTATGAGTCTGAAGAATGCTAGTGTAACAGATTACAGTAGCCTATTTTTCAGTGTTCACTGAAGGTTAAAGTAGTAGTTTTAAGTTCTAATCAAAACTACTTAAAGTAGTAAGGAAAACATTTCTGCATGCTAAAAAATATGTCTTTTGATAAAAGAAAGTAATTTTGTTCTAAAGTACAGCTGTTTATTTAGAAAGAGAAGTCTAAATGTAAAAAGAAAGTTGTAAAAAGTTTGTAGAAGAATTTAATATAGTCATGCTATATTAAATAAAAGCAAATGAGTCTCAGTATAAAGTACACAGCGAAGTTAGAATTTTGTTTTCAGTTAAAAAGACAAAGTTTTCTTAACTGTTAATCTGCTCTTAATATTGAAAGATTGCAGAAAGTTCTAATTGTCTTATCAAAGCAGTTTCTTATGCTTAAAGTCAGTGAGTTGTCGGAGTCTTTAAGAAAATGAGATCTTAATATTAAAAGGACTAAAAGCTAAACTTTGATAACAACTGTGTAACCTTCTTTATTTGCCTTTGAAGTACTTTGTTGTCATTCTAGTTAATTGGATAAGTATTGCTTCATAGCAACCTATAATCCTATTTAAGCAAGTGCCTTAAAACTTTTAACAGCTTCCCAAAATCAAATTCAAAAAGGTGCTTTTACCTCTAGTTAACTCTGATATTTTCCAGAGGGACCCTGGAACATGTCAGAAGAACTTTTTCTCATTGGAGAAAGTATTTGGCTAATTTAGCTTATTTATCTGATATATATATATATATATTAAGCAGGTAATATATATATATATATATATTACCTGCTTAATTACCTAGAAAGCACTGTCAAAAAGAATAATGCTCAACTTTGTTACTGAATGTTTTGTGTTACAGAAATATCAGAATTTCCTTATATCAACTGTCTTACAGTAAGCTCTCATCAGATCTTTAACCATTGTCATTTGTAAGTCTTTTATTATTTACAGTCACTGTTTTATTACTCTTGAGCTAGTAAAGAACTAGATCTCAGCAGAACAAGTATTAGTTACATAAAATTAAGTAAACTAAAGATGATTTTATAGCTTTTTGTTTCAAATGTTACTGATAGTGTTTAAAGTTTTTTCTCTTAAGCTGACAACAGTTTAGTAAATGATTGCCTTTATAAACAGAATTGAAACTTTATCTTTCTCTCTACCTGATCCCTCCAGAATTTAAAACTCTCAGTGATTTTTATATTTCATGGCAGTATGTTTATTTGCACAAGTTCAATAAGAATCTACTTTCCTTGTAAGGGAACCAATTAAAAACACTGGTTATATTACCAAGGCTTTGACTGGAACGTCATACCTGAGAGACACGTGTGTAAACTCAGATATGAACAGACAGCTTTAAGGAACTAAGATTGACTTTATAAAGACAACAAAGCCCCTTAAAAGAACTGGCCTGGTACCTTGCTTACAGAATTCCCAGCAGCCTTACCAGGTGAGTAAGGAAGGTCACTTCCTGGTAGGTGCAGGAACCTCAGGAATGTCTTGGAACCCTCAAGAAGAGAGGAATTCACCCAAATCTACAGGTACTGCAGGCACAAGCTGATGGCAAGTCTGGCTTGCCTTTCTGGCCTCAAAAAGCCCTTAAAAGTTCAATCTGAAATTCCTTACAAAAAGTTCCAGCAAAGCACATTTAAAAGAGCCTATGTAATCAATTGCTCTTCTTGCTGCACTTATGCAAATAATCAAGCCAACCATTAATTATTTTCTTAATCTGGCTACTTCTAATAAAAATGAGGGTGATTTTAAAGAAAAGTATTGTTTCAATAATGCAGCCTTATCTATACTAAATCCCAATACTAGTCATTGAAATGTAAACTCGATCCAGAATTCCAGTCCCCCATAATGGCCTGGCTAATGCCTCTGCTAGGCCCCTTAATAACAGTTTGTGGTTTACTCTTAATTGCCCCATGTGTTTTCAAGTTCCTTCAACAGCATATGGCAGAAATTTCACACATAAAAGTTAATCAACTGTTGCTGCATGAGTACTCACCCCTCCTGACTGAGCCTCCTCCGGCCATCAACCAGCCTTAAACTCGCCCCCCCTCCCATGACTCCCCTTGTCAGCCAGAAGTAACCAGATCGAGCCGTCGTCCATTATGACCAAATGGCTGGAATGTTAGGCTGCAGGTATCAGGGGAAGGGGTGAGCCTGATGGACAAGCTCAGGCCTCACCAAAGGAGGCAAAGAGACCAACAGGTTCCAGTCTGACAACATTCCAGAGCCTGATCGGATAACCCTCCCAACTAGAGTCCTTCCCCCAAGCTAAAGGATTAGTGGTAACTTTCCAGTACCTGGCTAAAGGCCAATGAGAGACCCCCACGTACTGTAGATGAGCCAATCCTCACGCCAATGTACACCTTTGCTCTCCCTCCCTGTGCCTTCTTTAAAAACTTGCTGTCTGCCCTGCTGGGTGTGACTTCCCTGGCCTGTGTTTCAGACCACGGAACATCAGCTGGGAGTGGCATTCAAATAAACTACCTAGCCCTTTGTTGCCTCTCTTTGCCTGCTTATTTTGGCTAAAATTTATCTTACAATGTACAATTACATGAGCAACATTATGGTTACTAGACTCCCTCTATTATCAAGTCCCCACCACATACCCCATTACAGTCACTATCCATCAGCTTACTAAGATGCTACAAACATCGTACATCTTTACTTGAACATAATGTTTTAATTTCTGTGACAAATACATAGGGTAAAATTGCTGAATCATAGGGCATATGTGTGTTTGACTTCATCAGAAACTGTCAAACAGCTTTCAAAAATGGTTGTACTGTTTCACATCCCCATTAACAATGTATAAGAGTTGCAGTTGGTTCACATCTTCTCCAGCATTTGGTTTGTCAATCTTTTTTATTTTAGCCATTCTGGTGGGAATGAAATGGAATCTCATGATGGTTGTTTTTGCATTTCCCTATGACTAAAGATGGCACCAGAATCACTTTTTCATGTGTTTATTGTCCATTCATGTATCTCTTTAGTGAAGTGCCTTTTTAAGTCTTTTGTCTGTTTTCTTATTCAGGTGTTCATCTTCTTAATCCTGATTAGTAGGAGTTTTTTATATACTCTGGGTACAAGAATTATATCTCAGATAATGTCTTGCAAATATTTTTTCTCCATCTGTGATAAATTAAAACTTATTAGTTTTAAAATCCAATTTAAACAACCCATTAAAAATGAGTAAAGACCATAAAAAAGCTAAAATCTTTTCCTCTAAAATCAGGAATAAGACAAGGATGCCTATTTACAACACTTTTATTCAGCAGAGTATTGGAAGTCCTAGCTACATTAATGAGGCAAGAAAAAGAAATAAATGGCATCCATACTGGTAAGGAAGAAGTGAAACTGTTACTGTTTGGAGATGACCTGATACTACATACAGAAAGCCCTAAAGACTCCACCAAAAGACTATTCAAATTAATATATCAGCTATACCTCAATTTTACAAAATTTTTAAAGACTTGAATAGACATTTATCCAAAGAATATATACAAATGGCCAACAAGCACATGAAAAGATGCTCAATATAATTAGTCATTAGGGAAATGCAAATCAAAACCACAGTGAGGTACCACCTTACAGCCACTAGGATGGCTAGCGATTGTTTTTTTGTTGAAGTATCATTGATACACAATCTTATGAAGATTTCACATGAGCGACATTGGTTACCACATTCACCCATATTATCGAGTCCCCCCTAACACCTCATTGAAGTCACTGTCCATCAACATAATAAAATGCTATAGAGTCACTGCTTGTCTTTGTGCTATTACTGTCTTCCCTGTCTCCCCCTTATACACTATGTGTGTTAATCATAATGCCTGTTAATCCTCTTCTCCCTCCCTCCCCACCCACCCTTCCCAACCCCTTCCCTTTGGTAAACGCTAGTCCCTTCTTGGACTCTGTGAGTCTGCTGCTGTTTTGTTAGATGGCTAGGTATTAAAACAAAAACAAAAACAAAAACAAAGATGGGAAATAACAAGTAGGGAGCACGTGGAGACATTGGAACTCCTGCTGTATATTGCTGGTAAGAATGTAAAATGTCAGCTGCTGTGGGAAACAGTTGATGATTTCTCAAAAAGTTAAATATAGTATTTCTCCATGACCCAGCAATTCTACTCCTAGATATATACCCAAAACAATTGAAAGCACTTAAACAAGTGCATATACACAAATGTTCATAATAGCAGTATTCACAATAGCCAAAAGGTAGAAAGAACACAGAGGTCCAGCAACAAATAAATGGATAAACAAATTATGGTATGTATATACAGTGCAATATTATTCAGCTATAAAAAGGAATGTAATATGATACATCCTATACAATATGGATGAACCTTGGAAACATGCTAGGTGAAAGAAGCCAGATATAACAGGTCACATATTATATGAAACATCCAAAGTAGATAAATCCATAGACAGACAATAGATTGGTGGTTACCAGAAGGGGAGATTGGGGAGCAACTGCTTCGAACATACAGGGTTTTCTTATGAGGTATTAAATATGTTTTGTAACTAGGTATGGGCAGTCATTGCAGAACATTATGAATATACTAAATACTGCTGAATTGTTTAAATGAGTAATCATACATTATGTGAATTTTGTCTCTATTTAAGAATCCAGTTTGTACTTTTTTTTCTTTACAATAGGGGCAGTGGTTGCAGAACATCATGAATATATTAAATGCTACTGAATTGTTCACTTTAAATGATTAATCTTACATCATCTGAATTTTGCCTCTATTTGAGAATCTAGTTTGTACATCTTTTTTCATTATAGTCAGTGTTTTTTGTGTCCTACCCAAGAAATATTTGCTGACCCCAAGGTCATGACAATATTCCATCCATGTTTTCTTCTGCTGTATGATTGTGGATTTAGGTTTAGGCCAAGTGACTCTTCAAATTAATTTCTGTATATAGCATGATTAAGCATTCATTTATTTGGAATACAGAGAACCAGTTGTTACAGTAGGATTTGTTAAAAACACTTTCCTCTTTGAATTAGCTTGACTTTTCAAAAGCAAATCAATTGACTGAATACATGTGGGTCCGTTTCCAGATTTTACTGTGTTCCTTTGCTCTATTCAGCCTGTCCTTATACCAATACCACACTGTTTTGATTACTGAAGTTTACATCTACCAACTTTTTATCCCCCCTCCAGATTTTGGCTTTTCTAGGTCCTTTACATTCCCTTTTAAATTTTAGAACCAGCTAGCTTGTCTGCTTCTTCAGATGATATTTTATTATAAGCTGTTGGCTGGGATCTCCTACATGAATTACATACCTAGTTGATAGCAGACTTGTCTAAGATGGTTTTGAAAGAAAAAGGTTTTGCTTTATTTCATTCTTTCCTCTCCATTGTTGTAGGTTACAAGGCAAACGCCAGAACATGAGCAGGAAACTAAGCTTAGAGAACAAATGTCTGGCTGTAAGAGAATGATGCAGCAACATCAAAAACAGCTGATGAATTTGGAAAAGAAGCTAAAGGCTAAGATGGATGAGCATCGTCTCAGATTACACAAAGATCTTGAAACTCAGCATAACAACTTTGCTGCAAAAATGAAGAAACTTATTAAGAAACAGGCTGCTATGGAAAAAGAGGTAGCTGATCAGTATTACTAATATATTTATTCTAACTTGTGACTATTTCAAAATTAACCAAGATGGCATTTTGATGTTAGGGTATCTGTTCCCCAGAACCAAGCATATCAACTGGGGAAAGAGAGAAATATTTATATAATAGGTAAAATATCAAGTGCTGAGTCTGGGAACCAGTACATATGGGATTATGTCCTGATAACTTGATAGTTTTATCGTGTAACAGTGGTTAAGTCAGGTAGATCAGATTAAAGATGATGATGTGAGAGGTGAGACAGAGGCCTCCTCCCAAAACCACGTACAATATGATAATATAGTTAATACAGCTAACTCTAAAAGATCAACAGGAAAGAAGGCTGCACCAGACTGCTTACTCCTGGAGAAAAGAACAGACCTCAAAAAGGGTAACATACCAAAGCTGTGATCTGGGAGGACCCACTCTCTTCCCCCACTCAAGCTCACCAGCAGAAAGAAGAGAAATAGAGTTGGGAGGGGGTGGAGGCCTGGGACTGCTGAACACCCAGCCCTGGAGATCTGCTCTAGGAGCACAAACCTACATTCTATGATGGTCTGGAGATTAGTGGGATTGGAAAGCTAAGACAGTAGAAATACTTGGAGAGACTGAGATTCCAGCTGCTATGGAAAACAGGGATCCACATCTGCTGCTCTGGGACAAAAGAAAGGCAGGCAGTATGAGAGACTTCCTAACAGTGAGAGGGCTACTAAAGGGGCAAGGATTGCACAGAGCTTGCTGCTCAGGAAAAAGGACAGGTAGACAAAAGTGTCCAAGTGCACTCTGCCCAGCAGGTTGGGATTTTTCATGAGCTTCAGGCACTCCATCCCGCTGGCTAGCTATACAGCTTCGAGGCCTTCCATCATAATATGCAGCCTGCTGCACCTTCCAGCTGGCTGGCACTAGATTGGAAACCAGCTGCCCCTGCGCTGGTGTCAGTTCAGGCAGAGGGAGGCCCCACCTACAGCAGCTACAAACACAAAGCATAGAGGGTAACACCTGTGTGTTTGGTTCACTGGTCTGGCTGTGGAGAGGCACAGTAGCCAGGAAGAAGGAAACAGCTCTTCCCAACCCCCAGTCATAAGCGCTGCTCCCTTGCAACCCCCAACATCACTCCACAGGCTGAGTAGATCCAGAGAGTGGACCTTATGGGTACTAGAGAGTGCCACATACAAATATGAAATGTCAAAGGAACCTGGTTGAAACCAGAGTCCCCAAAACACCAGAAAAGGGATCAAGTGAAAATGCACTCAACGATCTTCCTGAAAAAGATTTCAAAAAAAATCAGAAACATGCTCATGGAGGTACAGAAAAATATTCAAGAACTCAGGAATGAATTCAGGACAGAGATCCATTCATTATGGAATAAACTGGGGGTATTAAAAAGCAGAATAGATGCAGTGGAGGAGACAATGAATGCAAAAGAAATTGAAGAAGACAAATGCAAAGAAGCTGAGGCACAGGAAAAAAGATCTCTAGGAATGAAAGAATTTTGACAGAACTGTGTGACCAATACAAATGGAACAATTTTCTTATTATTAGGGGTACCAAAAGAAGAAGAGAGAGAAAAAGGAAAAGTATCTTTGAGGAGGTAATTGCTGAAAACTTTCCCAATCTGGGGAAGGAGATCGTCTTCTCAGGCTATGGAGGTGCACAGATCTCCCAACACAAGGGACCCAAGGTAGACAACAACAAAACATAATAATTAAAATGGCAAAGATCAAGGATAAGGACAGAGTATTAAAAGAAGCCAGAGAGAGAGAAAAGATCACATCCAAAGGAAAGCCCATCAGGCTATCATCAGACTTCTCAGCAGAAACCTTACAGGCCAGAAGGGAGTGGCATGATGTATTTAATGCAGTGAAGCAGAAGCAAGAATATTCTATCTGGAAAGATTATCATTTAAAGTTGAAGGAGGGATCAAACAATTTCCAGATAAGCAAAAGCTGAGAGAATTTATCTCCCACAAACTGTCTCTAAAGTGTATTTTGGAAGGACTGCTATAGATGGAAGTTTTCCTAAGGCTAAATAGCTGTCACCAGAGGTAATAAAACCACAGTAAAGAAGGTAGAACAATTAATTACTATGCAGATGCAAACTTAAATCCACTACCTCAAAATAGGCTAAGGGATAGACAAAGAGTACAGAATGTGATACCTAATATATAAAGAATGGAGGTGGAAGAAAAAGGTGGAGAAAAAAACCCTTTAGATTGTATTTGTAATAGCATACAAAGTGAGTTTAGACTCTTAGATAGTAAGTAAATTACCCTTGAACCTTTGGTAACCACGAATCTAAAGCCTTCAATGGCAATAAGAACATACCTATCAATAATCACCCTAAATGTAAATGGTCTGAATGCACCAATCAAAAGACACAGAGTCACTGAATGGATAAAAAAACAAGACCCATCTATAAGCTGCCTACAAGAGACTCACTTCAAACCCAAATTCATACAGGGACTGAAAGTAAAGGGATGGGAAACGATATTTCATGATCTAATAGGAAGAAATCAGCAGCAGTTGCAGTACTTGTGTCAGACAAAATAGACTTCAAAACAAAGTCACAAAGAAGGACATTACATAATGATAAAGGGGTCAGTCCAACAACAGAATATAACCATTAAAATATCTGTGCACCCAACACAGGAGCACCTACATATGTGAAACAAATACTAACAATTAAAGGAGGAAATAGAATGCAATGCAGTCATTCTAGGAGACTTCAACACTCCACTCACTCCAAAGGACAGATAACCAGACAAAATAAGTAAGAAGACAGAGACAATGAACAATACATTAGAACAGATGGGCCTAACAGACAGCTACAGAATTCTACACCCAAAAGCAGCAGAATACACACTGTTCTTAAGTGTGCTTGGAATGTTTTCAAGAATAGGTTATATACTAGGCCACCAAAAAGAGCCTCAGTAAATTCAAAAAGATTAAAATTGTACCAAACAGCTTCTCACACCACAAAGGTATGAAACTAGAAATAAATTACTCAAAGAAAATGAAAAAGCCCACAAACACATGGAGGCTTAACAACATGCTCCTAAATCAATGGATCAATGAACAAATAAAAACCCAGCAACATATGGAGAAGAATGACAGCAATAATTCAACATGACAAAATCTGTGGGACACAGCGAAAGCCATACTAAGAGGGAAGTATATTGCAATAAAGGCCTACCTCAGCAAAGAAGAAAAATCCCATATGAGCAGTCTAAACTCACAATAACAAAACTAGAAAAAGAAGAACAAATGAGGCCCAAAGTCAGTAGAAGGAGACACATAATAAAGAGTAGAGCAGGCTTAAATAAAATGGAGAATTAAACAATAGAATCAATGAAAGCAGAAGCTGGTTCTTTGAAAAAATAAGCAAAATAGATAAACCCCTAGCCAGACTTATCAAGAAAAAAAGAGAGTCTACACACATAAACAGAATCAAAAATGAGAAAGGAAAAATCACTTACAGACACCACAGAAGAATTATTAGAGAATACTATGAAAAACTGTGTGCTAATAAATGGGATAACCCAGAAGAAATGCACAAATTTCAATAAAAGTACCTTCCACAGGTGACCCAGAAAGAAACACAAAACCTGAACAGACCAATTACCAGCAGCAAAACTGAATTGGTAATTTAAAAACTACCTAAGAATAAAACCCGTGGACCAGATGGCTTCACTGCTGAATTTTATCAAACATTTAGTGAATACCTAATGCCCATCCTCCTTTTTCAAAAAGTAGAAGAGGAGGGAATACTTCCACCCTCATTCTATGAAGCCAGGATCACTCTAATTCCAAAACTAGGCAAATACACCACACACACAAAAATTACAGACCAATATCCCTGGTGAGCAAAGATGCAAAAATACTCAACAAAAACAAATTACAAAATATATCCAACAGATCATCTATCATGATCAAGTACGATTTATTCCAGGGATGCAAGGATGGTACAACATTCGAAAATTCATCAGCATCATCCACCACATTAACCAAAAGGACAGAAACCACATGATCATCTCCACAGAACCTGAAAAAGCATTCGACAAAATTCAACATCCATTCATGGTAAAAAAATCTCAACAAAATGAGTATAGAAGGGAAGTACCTCAACATAATAAAGGCCATATATGATAAACCCACAGCCAATATCATACTTAAGTGAGAAGCTGAAAGCATTTCCTCTAAGATCGGGAACAAGCACTCTCCCCACTCCTATTCACATAGTACTGGAGGTCCTAGCCTCCAGTACAGCATTCAGACAACACAAATAAATAAAAGGCATCCAGATTGGTAAAGAAGTTAAACTGTCACTGTTTGCAGATGCCATGATATTATAAATAAAAAACTCTAAAGAATCCACCCCTAAACTACTAGAACTAATAACCGAATTCAGCTAAGTGGCAGGATACAAAATTAACACACAGAAATCTGTTGCATTCCTATACACTAATGATGAACTAGCAGAAAGAGAAACCATGAAAACAATTCCATTCACAGTTCATTCAAAAAGAATAAAATACCTACAGATAAACCTAACAAAGGAAGTGAAAGACCTATACCCTGAAAACTGCAAGACAGTTGAGAGAAAGAAGATACCAATAAGTGGAAATAACATCCCTTGCTCATGGATAGGAAGAATTAATATTGTCAAAATGGCCATCCTGCCTGAAGCAATCTACTGATTAAATGCAATCCCTATCAAAATGCCAACAGCATTCTTCAATGAACTAGATCAGATTGTTCTAAAATTCATATGGGACCACAGAAGACCCTGAACAGCCAAAGCAATCCTGAGAAGGAAGAATAAAGCAGGGGGCAGGGGGCAGATTTATGCTCCCTGACTTCAAGCTCTACTGCAAAGGCAATTTGGTACTGCAACAAGAACAGACCCATAGACCAATGGAACGGACTAGGAATCCCAGATATAAACCCAAGCATATATGGTCAGTTAATATATGAAAAGGGAGCTATGGACATACAATGAGGA